CTCAAGCAGGTTGGATGCTGCTACGTTTATGACAGGGTCGGAGAAGACGGAGTCCTGATAAATCTTGGCGGAATTTCTATGAGGATGCATCCCGATAAGCCCGGTTACGCTGTAGCAAAGTATGGTAGCAAGGTTGAGTACGTGGAGCCAGCTGTCAGGACCAGGGATTTCCGTGCCACGAAGATGAGTTACGCCACCGACCTGATCTACGGCGACTGCGAAATAGGTTCAGACACGTTGCAAATCGTTCGTAATATCCTCATCGTGAGTAGCTTTTAAAAGGTGGTTTATCTGCGACGGAGGACTATCACCGGTGCCTTCGATGTCGTAGAGGAGGTCGTTGACACGTTGGACGATACAGTGCTGCGCCTTGACCTCGATATAACCACGTTGCCTGAAGCTGAGGATATGATGGATTCCGTGTCGGACGTTGCAGGGCTCTCGCGAGCTGGGATAAGGTGTGGCGGTGTATCGGTGTCGGCAGGCTCCTCCTTCTCTTCGTTGTCCCCCCCTTACGACTCCCGACATGCCAACGTTAAACCCTGATGAAAGCAGATCGTACTCGTCTTGTTCCGGGTCGGAGTATTCGTGGAAGTCTTCGTCGTAGTCGTCGGTACCACCAATCTCGGGGTCGGAAGTAGCAATCTGCGTGGAGCTACCGCTTTCCGAGTTTCTCCGTTTCTTCTTTTCCACCCACGTCTTCCGTTCCTTGCCTGTCTTGCCGTTCCCGGGCTTCTTCTTCTTCTTCCTCTCTGGCCTCTCACGTGCTTCCTCCTCCGACGTTGACTCCGATGCAGGTGCCTCCCCTTTAAGTGATATGTTGCTGAGCAGGGACGAGAAATCTATGTGTTCGTCGACGATGGCACGGGTCTTGATTATAGGCGTTACAGCTGGGCTGGTGGCATCTACGTGGGAGGAAGCGGCGGTCAGGGAGGGATTGATGGATGCTAGGAATGCGACAGCGGCCCCGCAGGAACATATGAGATCGTCCAGGCATCTGAGTTTCGCGAGAGCTTCGGGGCTATCACAGTCTGCAAGTGCTTCCTTTACTGCCTCGCACGTCCTCGTCATCTCCTCCTTCATCTCATTCGCGGTCGCGTTTATCCGGCTCATTATAGAGAAGGCACGAACTTGGAAGTCGTTTGGTCCCGGTGGTCTTGGTGCTTGATAGCCCGACATTGATATATTGGACGAGTTACGCCTGAGTGCAACGGCAATTATTTGGTTCTTGCCTTCGTCTATATCGCGGATCTCAAGGTGCTGAAAAGCGGATGCCAAAGAATCCAGGCTGCCCATAAGAAAGACGTCCCATTTGCTGTAGATTGCTAAGGTGTAAGATGCGCTGACGTATGTTGTTGTTACGTGGTCTCCTTCGGTGAGAAAGTCATGTACGTCCTTGCATATCGCAGACGGCTTCACACATTTATCGTGCCTCTTTGGAACCTTTGTGCGTGACATGAAAACCGGGTTGTGCAGGTAGACCTTCTCGATCTTCATCGTCCTCGTGAGTAGTTTCGGAGTTGAGCTCTTGCATATCTTGAAGTTCTGCTTCGCTACGTCTCCCAAGCAGATTACTGATAGCTTTGTACAACCCATCTTCGCGCAGGAGGCAAGGATAGTGCTTATGAAGTCGGCGAAATACGATCGTGCTTTAAGGGTTTCCTGATCGGACATCCTGCGGAAGGGCGTTACGTTTAAGCAGCAGACGCCTCGCGGTAGTATAGAATAGCTGCACGTCATTATGTCCATTACCTCACGGAGTTTCGACGGCTCGTTAACGGTGATCATCTGTCCTAATACCTGGACTGTAGGAGTGTAGCCATCTACAACATGTGGGTTGAACGCGAAGGCTGATGCGATGTGAGGGAGAATCTCGGGCCTGTACGGTTCTTGTCCTATCATCAAGGTGGAGATCGGCATGAAGTCTGGTATTATCTCCAGGTATCGCTTTATTCTTATGTCGATGGGCCCTATGATGGCTTCCTCGCACCGGCTGATATATTTTGCAACCTGTATCCGGACTTCTTCACGGTGGAATCGAAGAGCGCTAGAGATGTCAGGCAGTTTCGCGTTCCCCTCCTCCTTGCTCTCCGGAAGGCGTACGGCCCCATGAATATCTGTCAAAACTCTCATCATCAGTGCAACAATAAAATATTATTAACAGTTTTAAAACTCACAGGATTTGTGCAGTCGTTGCTATGTGTTTGTTGGACTTACTTCTTAGGGGCCTGTGCTGAGCTGATGTCACGATTCTTGGGTTGCAGCGCTTCGATAAGACGTTTGGATGCTTTCGTTCCACTGCTCTCAAAGACGAGGGCTCTGTTCAGGGGAGGCGAGCGTATCGTTGTTAAATCATGGACTTGCATGCTCTTCAGGCTTAGCGTGACACGACGAATTCCTGATGCTGCGTAATCCTTCCCGCGTTTCAGAGTGATCTCCACGCCGACAACACCGATAACGTTTGACCTTGCTTGACGAATGATGTGCATCAGGTTCTTGTCGGTGTCTCCGTAGCTGTTTAGCCCGCCCTCCGTCTCTATCAGGGCAACCGGGTGATAATTCTTGGTTATGTTTGCGTTCGTCCATACATAGTCGCTGAATTCTTGGTCGCGTTCGCTCGATGCCACGTTTACGCCTGTAGATCTGAGCATTGCCAGGAGCCAGTGGTAGCGAGTAAGCGGGATGCCGACAGATGCGTAGGTCTCCATGTAGCAGGACTTTACACCGGTCAAGCTGTTGGCAGAAGGCGCAGGGATACCGATATTATCGCGGTACTCAACGATGGCGTTATCAAAGCAGAACATGCTAGTCATCTCGGAAGTTTCTTCCCATGCTAATCCTGCACGCAAGGTATAGACGGGCGTTATCACGGCATTCCTCTTCAGCTTACCCGATATGTCTTCCTCGTCTGATAGAACGACGTAAGGCCTCCCGATATTCTTGTCTTTCTTCTTGTTGTCGTAAGTCGCTGGCAAAATTGCTGCACGCGTAGAAATGTACATGCCTGTCACGACATCGTGTTTCACATACTTCCCGGCAGCATTCAGGGTAAAGCGATCCGAATCTTTAGGTACAAACAGGGACGATGGCACAAGCTCGAACGACGCACTAGGTTTCTCTTCCGTAATGGACATTGTGGCTCCTAATCAGGATAGTATTCAAATCGCGATGTATAATTCTAACTCTTTATGCATTTTAAAACAGATGTTACAACTTCTCAGCAAGCACGTATAGTTTTGGTCAGGCATCAACGACGCTGCTGATCGGGTCCTCCGTGTTGAATAACTGCGTCCTTGTTTCGGCTGCCGTTCTTACGAGGCTCATGTTGGAGATGACAGCTAGCGGGGTCCCGGCGTCAAGCTCAACCCTCTCCTCGCTTCTGTTGTCGATCGTGACGGAGATAGACTGACGACGATCCAGGAGGCCACCCGAGATGAAGATCCCGACGCTGCTCTTCAAGGTAGTTTTAGCTGCGACGAGAAACGGCGATTCATCGCTACCGCACTCCAGGCTTATCATTGTGTCAACCGATCGTTGTGAGTTTCTGGGGATTACGAGTTTCCGCGGACACAGTATCCAAATGGTGGACCTGTCGGAAGATACAAGGCACGCGTCAGACCTGAGCTCTTCAACCTTCATCAGCCTTGACAACCCGGATCCATCGAACAAACGAACCCTCATAGCTGTTAGCAGGCAAGTAATTTATATAATTTTTTATCATACATTTGTCAGTACTCTGTCAGCTTCGCAGCTATTCCGCGAACGGCGATTACATACGGGTTTTCCTCGATGTCTATTACGTGGTCGATGGTAGGACCTCGCAGCAAGGAGGGACACATGCTTCTTGTAAGCCGTAGTAGGGATTTAATACCCAGCCCGCAGCAGTTCGAAACGGAGTAGGTAGCAACGAGGTTCATCATGTAAGACGCGTTCTCGTCGATCGTAACTCCGCGGCAGTATTGGTATAAGTCTGCGCCGAATAAAGTACGCAGGAGGATCGCTGCATTGATGGGTACATACTTGTGATAGCTGCGCACTAGCAGGCACCTGTGAATGAACGTGAGTATCTCCTCCTCCGAAAACGATTCCTTTGGTGGCTTGGCTCCCTTGGGCGGTTTATCTATCGTGAGGCAGATGGCACGACGCGCGAACCAGGGCATCATGACGGACTTGTAGGCCTTCCACGGAGCGTTCATTGCAAAGAGGCCAGCGCATTGGAGCTTCCCCGTCATCGTTTTCGTGGATACCGAGTCGTTTCCAGACATTATCTTGAGGAAGGAGTCGTTGATGTATCCCTTGTAACCTATCGAGACGTCGCCGTAAGACACGAACCTATTCTCCATCATCTTTTCCATATCAGCCTCATCGATCTTGTCCACGTTTCTGCCAACATAATCCCGTGTAAGAGTCCCCACCACACCTGGAAGATTGGAGATTATCGTTGATATCGTAGTGCTTTTCCCTTCACCACCGATCCCGTAGAAGAATAAGAGGCGTGGAGTCATGACAGGATCCTGCAGGGAATTTCCTATGCACCACATTATGACGTCGATCGACCGCCTATCCATAGTAACGCTGAGTACTTCCTCTGCAGATGACATCGAGATGTTTGGCATTTTCTTAGGTACTGTCCCCAGGTTTATCGGCATGAGACAGAAGGCAGACATGAGAAGCTCTACCGCCCCGTAATCATCTGTCCTCATGGGCACTACTGCGTGGCTGGTCCTAAAGATGGTCTCCTCCTCCAGAATCTCGAAGTTCAGGCGATAAACTGAAATACAAATACTTTTCGGTATAGGTCGGACGTTCAGGGAGTAGCGATCAAGCATATTGAGGTAGGGCAGCGCAGAACCGTGGTAGCCTACAGAGACATTCTCGTTTCCGAGGACATCGTTAATATATTTGGTTGATGTGGGCCCACGGCTATGACACCAGCAGCCCGAGTTAGGAACATAGACGAACGACGCTCCGCGATGACGGATACTCCTACCCCTTTTCAGTATGCCATCGATAACCAACCTGTCTCCAGATGTTAGCAGTTCAGTTAGTGGGCCGGAGAACGGAAAGCTGTCGTGCATCAGGATCTTGCCATTGCTGTCGTAGGTATCTTCGTCGGGGATCGCTAGCACAAACTCTCCGTCAAACACGTTCATCCTTAAGCCATTTGGTCTTGATACAAATATTTGATTACCAACGTAAGATGGAACTGTACAAGGAGCTCATAAATGATGGTTGGATTCCTACGTGGACCGGAACCATGGATCACGTTCGGCCTGATCAGCAACGGGCGGGTGGTGCCACGAGGATTCATGTACGAATGGCGAAGAAGGATGAGCGGATCTGGACCGTCGTGGAATTTCAGGCACCTTCGTGTGACGATCTCAAACCCCTGATAAAGCATACCGCTGTTGAACCTGGTTCCAGCATCTCTCTACTTCCATCTGCAGGGGTCCGGGGAATAGGAAAGGCGAGGTTAGGCGCGGTTCTCGGGATAGCTCCGTTCTGCACACCAGGTTTGGGAATAAGCAAGCCGCTGCCTCCGTTGGACGATCCTCGAATAGTCGGTCTCGATATAGAGCAAAGCACCCACGAACGACGAGGCCTGTTCCCCATGTCTCATGACCCCCTTATCAGCATCGCGATCGTTACTTGGCAGGAGGAATACATGTGCGGCTTCGTCCCCGGAAGATGTGATATGGAGAGGTGTGCGCCGGACAGCCGGTACAAGATTATCAAGTTTGCAGATTCCACAGATTTGGCGGACTGGGCTATGGATTGGCTTATCAAGAACGTGCCTGACTTCATCTGCATTCATAACGGTTTCAAGTACGATGTATCCCGGTTGGCGGTTCATTGCTCGCCTAGATTCCGGCCCTATTTCGTGGAACTCAACTTGGGAAAGGCCGATAAGGGGTTCGATCTAGCAATTCCAGGCTCCACCGTTATAGATACCAACTGGTTTCTCAGCAAGCTGCATAATGTTGATTATCTCACGTTTAGCCTTGATAGCCTTGCAGGTGCGATAGGAGAGGAAGGGAAGAAGGAACACCCGACGATGAACGTGAAACCTGATGACGACGACCTGGACATGACAACCATGATAATCTATAATATTCACGACGCTTACCTGCATATCAAAGTTGCTCTGAATACTCGTTGCATCGAGGAAATCTGCACCATGTGTTCCGTCTTTAAGTCCCCGATAGCAGATGTAACGAGGTTCATTAGCGGCACGGTAGTTTGTTCGATGGCGGCTTCCTTCGCCCTTTCTCTCGGCTTGGTAATAGACTGGTCGGTCGAGGGATGGGAGGAGGTGAAGTACAAGGGAGCCTATGTGCTGTCCCCGGTGACAGGTTTTCACAGCAACGTGACAGTCCTAGACTTTGCATCCATGTATCCTAGCATCATGATTGGGGCTAACATATCCCCTGAAACAATCCATCGAGTCACCGACCCTGATGCAAGGGAATTCCTCATCGAGCGATACGACCTCAGGCGCCCAAAAGAAGACGGAGACGTAGCAATATCATGGACAGACAAGTGCGTTCTCATGAGGTCATCAGACGTAATCTTTATCATCGATCGTACAGAGCCGGGCATCACGCGTATGATGTGCGAAGACCTGATTGCGCAGCGAAGATTACTGCCTAACAAGAACAGTCCTGAAGGTTGGACTTTGAAGATCGGTACCAACAGCATCTACGGCGTATTCGGGGCGTCTACCTCAGGACTGTCTTGTAAGCTTGCAGCTATCGCCGTAACAGCTATTGGCAGGTTCTTGTTGCGCAATCTTGTCCGCTTGGCTGAGGAAAATGGGCTTAATGTTTTATATGGGGATACGGACTCAGTCTTTGTGAAACGCACAGCCACTGCAACGTGTAACGAAACAGATCTTATAGGTGTTTACCACGACTGGTCCAGGACTACGCCGTTCGAGGCCGTGAAGTTAGAGCACGACAAGACCTACTCCGGCATTATCCTCGTCAGACCAAAGATTTATTACGGCTGGACGTCCGGACAAGGAACCCCCGTCATGAAAGGCATGGCATCGAAACGTAGAGATAGGCCAGATGTTGCCCGGCACGCTCTCCGCGATGTTTGCGATGCCATATGCTCATTGGGTGATGACGGTGACACTTTTGCAGCTGTATCCGAAGTCATTTACAGGGTAGTCCGACGCACGAGGCAGGGGAATATCGACCCGCTCATCTGCATGCGAGAAACCAAGGTGGAAGGTATCATCATGTACGCTTATAAGGGAGAGTCCGGCGACATCGTTTACCTCGACAGATCCAAATTTGATGGTACCTTGCCCGAAGCGATCGACGTGGAATGGGTTACGAGCAGCATCGAATCATCTTTATCCAGCATACTCGAAGCCTGTCACCTGCCACCTGTCACCCGCATCATCGAAATCATGGACGAAAGGATCGACGATATAGAAGATCTAGTTTAAAAATTTAATTACAGATACAAGATGTTATACAACGAGGATGCAGATGATGGGATACAGCTCGGGCTACCAATCGAAGAGATTGATCTTGAGACTTACGACGATGATGACGAGTACCAGAGATACAAACAGCTCCTGAGAACGGGCAACTGGGAACTAGAGTCAAAACTGCCAGATGAGTTCGAAGATAATCTTGCTATGAGGCGGATGTACCAAGACTACTGGTGTGAATACCGGAAGTACGACGAGAGCTATCTAACGCTCAGGGAGCCGGAATGCCGATTCACCGCTGATAGGGCTGATACCTGCTGCGTTCCTCGAATCTACAGGCCTGTTCCATCTCTTCCCGTGGTGATAAATGGGCGCCTCCTGTCATTCTCTACAGTTCTTACCCGGGCATGGAAGGAATGAGGACACCGTCTCCAACATGAAAGATCAGAATCGGGCTTGGTTCTTCCCGCATGCAAAGCTGGCAGATGTCGGCAACGTATACAAAGCTGTAAGAGAGGAGTATTCAAGCCTTCCGCTTCACGTTTTCAATGACATAGCCAAAACCGAAATATCTAACAGCCCTGATGCCATAGGACTATGGGGATTCCTCTTCGACGATATAGATTACTACACGCGCCGACCCGGCATCTTCGGCATGATCCACGATAACTCCCTGATCGACATGCGTCCTTACGATTCCAAAGACAGGGACTCCCATCAATCAAGATCAGTTGAAAGGCGTCTTACAATGAAGGACTGGTCAGGATTCATCGACTGCACGTACACGGCTTTAAGTCTGGAAGCGGGGAAGACCCGATCTCTGGTTCACGGGTGCCTCTATCGTGTTCTGACGGACAAAGTCTATAACCAGGCGTCAAGCATCCTCGATTGTATAGAAGCCAGCGACGACGAGTCAGCAGGATGGAGATTCCTTTTCGCTAGCAAAAGCTGCACCATGTCCCAACGCTCGGTAGGCCGGATAATTGCTACCTGGAATCGTTTTCAGCACCACAACTCTCCTAGCATCCACGTATGGCCCAGAGAACGAACGATCGTAATGCACATATCATCTGGCTGCGTTATGAAACCGGTGACAACGAGAACGGGAAAGCATTGGGTGGACTCGACGTGCTACAATACACCGGGGATGCTCCATCTGCTCTGCGGGAAACACCGGGCCACAACGGATGACGTGGCTGATAACGTTAGGACGACCATGCACCTGATCCCTTTCTTCCTCCATGATGAGCTGCCTAGACCTACATTGGCTTCCAGTATGTCGCACCAAGCATTATGCAGACCGCGGGTAGGACTCACCTCAACGACTGCTGCAACGACAAGCTATCTACCCGTAGTTCGAACCCCTATGATGCAACGACTGATCGACACCCTTACTGACACTCGGTTCATCTCTGTTCCAGGTGTTTCCCTGCTAGTTGTCTTCGCGAACATGAGAATGAATTACAAGGACTCCCTCATTGTCAGCCAGCACGTAAACGACGAGAAACTATTCCGCCACTTCGGAGTCATCCACCACCCGGTAAAGGACGGCGTTCCAACGATGAAGCGTGGAGACATCATCACCGAGAAGGACGATTGGTTCCGGCCCTATGCTAATGCCAAAGTACTAAGAGAAGGGGTATCAAGCAAGATGTCACGTTATGTCACGGCGGAGATGTCAGATGACAGGCTGCATGAAGGAGACAAATTAGCTACGTGGCACGGGCAAAAGTTTACCGTCTCAGAGATCATCCCCGAAGAAAGAATGCCCATTTTCACCTGCACAGCTACGAGGAAGAAATTACGTCCCCACATGATCGTTGCGTCTTCGTCAGTTCATAATCGCGGTACTATCGGTCAGATCTTCGAGGCATGGGCGGGGATGAACTGCGTAGGTGATACTAACTTCGATCCTCGTACGTGTGAAAAGTATGTTATCTGCGACCCGTTCAGGAAGTCAGACATACCGACCAACCGGTTCACCTGCGAAATATCAGACCCATCCCTACCCCTTAGATCAACGGACGGTAGCAGAATTATTGCTGACTACGGGATATGCAACTTCTGGCAGCTCTCGCACATTTCTCGGGACAAGCAACACTACGTGAGTGATATTCCACGCGGGGTGGCAATGAAGAAGGGCAAGCTTAACAGGTCAGGAGTTCGGTTCGGGGAAGCGGAGTGCCTCTCGGCTATGTCTGGCGGCTTAGTCAACTGCCTCTCCTACCTTAGCGATAACGGGGACCTGTCTATAGTTGATGTGTGCCAGAAGTGTAGACGGCTCGTGATTAACTGTGATTGTGAAGAAGGGTGGACCCCGTCAACTAGAGTGGTGGTTCGTAATGCGTTAGCCAAGTTTGATGTCATGAGGACGGCCTATTCGGTTAACGGTGCAATGGGGCTGGAGAAGCTCGGCGACGACGAAGAGAGGGCTCAGGTGGAAGGCAGGCGTACGTCCGTCCCATTCATCGCAGAGTCCTTCACCTACCACGCTTAGGCTTTTAAAAGCAGTTCGGCCACCAGGAAGGCAACTCGGAAACCCACAACAACTCCCGCGGCAAATCTCGAGCAGATATTTCATGCGACTTCATGTGTTCTTCTAATACTATCTCGCGTTCATCTCCGTCCTCGGTCAACCCACATAGCTCGCACCTGAAGAGGGACAGCCTAACCTCTCTGTTGCTAGAAAGCTGGCATACGCTTCTTCCATGACATATCAGGTGATCGTTATAGTCTTCGGCGTACGTGAATTCCTCGCAGCAGATACGGCAAACCACGGTGCATTGTCCAAGCAGCCCACGCCTCAACTCGTATCGTCCATCGTTAACCATGCTTCAGAGAGATCGTCGTAAGCAGTGCAGAGATAAATAATTATAACAATTTAAAGGCCAAAGTCCACGAACTGGTCAGAGATGTCATCGGCAGCCTTTGCAGCGAAGTCCGTCCTCGAGCTACTCGCCAACCTGTTCCTGCGCGCAGTCTTCCCGCATTTGGCCGCATACTCATCGATAGCCAGAACCTTGGATTCATTACAGCCTCTCCCCTCCATCCTGAACTTCACGTATATGGGTATTGCGTTGGAGGATAAGCTATCGAAAACCAGCTCGTCTTTGCTTCTGGGCCGAATAACCAGCTTGCTGAGATCGATCAGCAGATTACCCCCGTCATCAATCAAGCCCTCCCCTATTGCAGAGACGATGTCAGACCCAGGCGGAGGCAAACACTCGGGCATCATCTTCAACAGTGCTATAAAGTCACATAACGACCTGAATATATCCGATCGAGATTGGTAGTCCCGGAGAGTCTTCAGCGATGATCCATCAACCTTCTTCAGAGTCCCGTCTCTAGACCTGGAAAACCTCAGCACTATGTCTTTGTCGGAGAGAACACGCGGCATCTTTCTAGGGGGACAGGCGTACTTGGCAACGTTGCTGATAACCTTCGTGAAGTCGTTGAACCTCCCCTTTAGGCCTGCGTCGAAGATTCTTCCCGTCATGGTCTCGAGGCGATCACGTACCCAAGCAGTCAGACCGAGAATTATAGCCGAGAATAACTGTGCGTTCTCCCTGATCCTTATAAGGTTTTCATCCGACGTACAACTGAACATAGAGGTCGTGGACGCGCTGTCGATCGAGTCTTCAAACTTGCAGGGAGCGTGGCAAACCGATGCTGGGGCAGATGGCCTAACCGTGGGTAGCAAGGACGCGGAACTCGGGATCCTCACTGCCGTTCTTCCCCTGTCATCGTATAATATGGTTTCGATACGGCTTACCCCTGACTCGAGCTGCGATAGACGTGACATAATGTTTTCCTGATTCGAGAGAACGATCCTGAGCATGGTCGAAACACCAGTAAGCTCCAGCATGGCAGGACTAGGCTTTCTATCAGAGACCGGAGTGGTGCTCACCTCACTAGTACGGGAAGAGATAGATCCATGCCTCGGATGAACGAAACGAGGAAGAGAGGGAGAAGGAGAAGGGTCTGACGTGGACAATCCAGTGAGTAGATTCGATGTTCCAGGGCTTCTCAACACTTATGACGCACGTATCCGAACCATGAGGACGTCCAACGAACGCTGCCGGGACTGCAATCTGGCCTTGGCGTACTGCGCTTCTAACCCGAGTCTGGAACCTGACCTAGCGCCTGAGATCACCGATGAGGAATAAGAATTTAAAAGCTTACGCCTAACATGGATTTCGCTGGTAAAGTAGCAAGGTTCTGCCATCTCGAGTTTGTTGATCCATCGCGGCCCTCCCTGACAAGTTCCAGCTACAAGCATACCAACCGCGTTTACATATATCAGGAGCGGCTACAGAGGTTCGTGGTTTCCCCTGAGTTGCGTAGCATGACCAACGACGTTGAGAAAGCTTGGGTTAAGTATCCCGCTCCGCCACCCGGGCTTAATGGAACAGATATAGTTATTCTCATGCTCTGCTCGATGTCTTACACTATCAACCCTATAAGCTTTCCGTGGGAAGGAGCCACTCACTTAACTTTTCAGCGCTTATGGAGGCTGATTGAACGCATGTCGCTGGACTCTGGAAGCAGGTATCTTATCTCGGCTCTCGAGTCTCGTTGCGCTCTTGGTTATAGCACCTATTACGATATCGCTGGTGATCCTATGAAGGACGAGCCTGATAAGATTATCACGAGGGCGGGTGGTCTGATGATGGATTTGCGAAGAGCGGTAACTCGTCCACCGACCTCCATGTGTAGCGCTTCGTACATGCTTGACGACACAGAGGTTATCTCGTTTCTAGCAGTATCCACCTTCAAGAAGACCTAGCACCGCTTCGTTAGAAAATCATTTAAAACTCACATGACGTTCTCGATCTCCCCTCCGTATAAGGAAACGCTTGGCGAGCACCAGCCAGAGCAACGACCGACGCCTGAAGACCCTTCTCCTTCTCCCTCTCTTCCTCGTTTCGTTCATCCGAGGCATGGATCTATCTCTTCCCGTACTAGTGAGGTGAGCACCACTCCGGTCTCTGATAGAAAGCCTAGTCCTGCCATGCTGGAGCTTACTGGTGTTTCGACCATGCTCAGGATCGTTCTCTCGAATCAGGAAAACATTATGTCACGTCTATCGCAGCTCGAGTCAGGGGTAAGCCGTATCGAAACCATATTATACGATGACAGGGGAAGAACGGCAGTGAGGATCCCGAGTTCCGCGTCCTTGCTACCCACGGTTAGGCCATCTGCCCCAGCATCGGTTTGCCACGTTCCCTGCAAGTTTGAAGACTCGATCGACAGCGCATCCACGACCTCTATGTTCAGTTGTACGTCGGATGAAAACCTTATAAGGATCAGGGAGAACGCACAGTTATTCTCGGCTATAATTCTCGGTCTGACTGCTTGGGTACGTGATCGCCTCGAGACCATGACGGGAAGAATCTTCGACGCAGGCCTAAAGGGGAGGTTCAACGACTTCACGAAGGTTATCAGCAACGTTGCCAAGTACGCCTGTCCCCCCTAGAAAGATGCCGCGTGTTCTCTCCGACAAAGACATAGTGCTGAGGTTTTCCAGGTCTAGAGACGGGACCCTGAAGAAGGTTGATGGATCATCGCTGAAGACTCTCCGGGACTACCAATCTCGATCGGATATATTCAGGTCGTTATGTGACTTTATAGCACTGTTGAAGATGATGCCCGAGTGTTTGCCTCCGCCTGGGTCTGACATCGTCTCTGCAATAGGGGAGGGCTTGATTGATGACGGGGGTAATCTGCTGATCGATCTCAGCAAGCTGGTGATTCGGCCCAGAAGCAAAGACGAGCTGGTTTTCGATAGCTTATCCTCCAACGCAATACCCATATACGTGAAGTTCAGGATGGAGGGGAGAGGCTGTAATGAATCCAAGGCTCTGGCTATCGATGAGTATGCGGCCAAATGCGGGAAGACTGCGCGCAGGAACAGGTTGGCGAATAGCTCGAGGACGGACTTCGCTGCAAAGGCTGCCGATGACATCTCCGACCAGTTCGTGGACTTTGGCCTTTAAATTGTTATAATTATTTATCTCTGCACTGCTTACGACGATCTCTCTGAAGCATGGTTAACGATGGACGATACGAGTTGAGGCGTGGGCTGCTTGGACAATGCACCGTGGTTTGCCGTATCTGCTGCGAGGAATTCACGTACGCCGAAGACTATAACGATCACCTGATATGTCATGGAAGAAGCGTATGCCAGCTTTCTAGCAACAGAGAGGTTAGGCTGTCCCTCTTCAGGTGCGAGCTATGTGGGTTGACCGAGGACGGAGATGAACGCGAGATAGTATTAGAAGAACACATGAAGTCGCATGAAATATCTGCTCGAGATTTGCCGCGGGAGTTGTTGTGGGTTTCCGAGCTGCCTTCCTGGTGGCCGAACTGCTTTTAAAAGCCTAAGCGTGGTAGGTGAAGGACTCTGCGATGAACGGGACGGACGTACGCCTGCCTTCCACCTGAGCCCTCTCTTCGTCGTCACCGAGCTTCTCCAGCCCCATTGCACCGTTAACCGAATAGGCCGTCCTCATGACATCAAACTTGGCTAACGCATTACGAACCACCACTTTAGTCGACGGGGTCCACCCTTCTTCACAATCACAGTTAATCACGAGCCGTCTACACTTCTGGCATACATCAACTATAGACAGGTCCCCGTTATCGCTAAGGTAGGAGAGGCAGTTGACTAAGCCGCCAGACATAGCCGAGAGGCACTCCGCTTCCCCGAACCGAACTCCTGACCTGTTAAGCTTGCCCTTCTTCATTGCCACCCCGCGCGGAATATCACTCACGTAGTGTTGCTTGTCCCGAGAAATGTGCGAGAGCTGCCAGAAGTTGCATATCCCGTAGTCAGCAATAATTCTGCTACCGTCCGTTGATCTAAGGGGTAGGGATGGGTCTGATATTTCGCAGGTGAACCGGTTGGCCGGTATGTCTGACTTCCTGAACGGGTCGCAGATAACATACTTTTCACACGTACGAGGATCGAAGTTAGTATCACCTACGCAGTTCATCCCCGCCCATGCCTCGAAGATCTGACCGATAGTACCGCGATTATGAACTGACGAAGACGCAACGATCATGTGGGGACGTAATTTCTTCCTCGTAGCTGTGCAGGTGAAAATGGGCATTCTTTCTTCGGGGATGATCTCCGAGACGGTAAACTTTTGCCCGTGCCACGTAGCTAATTTGTCTCCTTCATGCAGCCTGTCATCTGACATCTCCGCCGTGACATAACGTGACATCTTGCTTGATACCCCTTCTCTTAGTACTTTGGCATTAGCATAGGGCCGGAACCAATCGTCCTTCTCGGTGATGATGTCTCCACGCTTCATCGTTGGAACGCCGTCCTTTACCGGGTGGTGGATGACTCCGAAGTGGCGGAATAGTTTCTCGTCGTTTACGTGCTGGCTGACAATGAGGGAGTCCTCGTAATTCATTCTCATGTTCGCGAAGACAACTAGCAGGGAAACACCTGGAACAGAGATGAACCGAGTGTCAGTAAGGGTGTCGATCAGTCGTTGCATCATAGGGGTTCGAACTACGGGTAGATAGCTTGTCGTTGCAGCAGTCGTTGAGGTGAGTCCTACCCGCGGTCTGCATAGTGCTTGGTGCGACATACTGGAAGCCAATGTAGGTCTAGGCGGCTCATCGTGGAGGAAGAAAGGGATCAGGTGCATGGTCGTCCTAACGTTATCAGCCACGTCATCCGTTGTGGCCCGGTGTTTCCCGCAGAGCAGATGGAGCATCCCCGGTGTATTGTAGCACGTCGAGTCCACCCAATGCCTTCCCGTTCTCGTTGTCACCGGTTTCATAACGCAGCCAGATGATATGTGCATTACGATCGTCCGTTCTCTGGGCCATACGTGGATGCTAGGAGAGTTGTGGTGCTGAAAACGATTCCAGGTAGCAATTATCCGGCCTACCGAGCGTTGGGACATGGTGCAGCTTTTGCTAGCGAAAAGGAATCTCCATCCTGCTGACTCGTCGTCGCTGGCTTCTATACAATCGAGGATGCTTGACGCCTGGTTATAGACTTTGTCCGTCAGAACACGATAGAGGCACCCGTGAACCAGAGATCGGATCTTTCCCGCTTCCAGACTTAAAGCCGTGTACGTGCAGTCGATGAATCCTGACCAGTCCTTCATTGTACGACGCCTTTCAACTGATCTTGATTGGTGGGAGTCCCTGTCTTTGGAATCGTAAGGACGCATGTCGATCAGGGAGTTATCGTGGATCATGCCGAAGATGCCGGGTCGGCGCGTGTAGTAATCTATATCGTCGAAGAGGAATCCCCATAGTCCTACGGCGTCGGGGCTGTTAGATATTTCGGTTTTGGCTATGTCACTGAAAACGTGAAGCGGAAGGCTTGAATACTCCTCTCTTACAGCTTTGTATACGTTGCCGACATCTGCCAGCTTTGCATGCGGGAAGAACCAAGCCCGATTCTGATCTTTCATGTTGGAGATGGTGTCCCTCATTCCTTCCATGCCCGGGTAAGAACTGTACGAGAATGACAGGGAGGCGCCCGTTTATCACCACGGGAAGAGATGGAACAGGCCTGTAGATTCGAGGAACGCAGCAGGTATCAGCCCTATCAGCGGTGAATCGGCATTCCGGCTCCCTGAGCGTTAGATAGCTCTCGTCGTACTTCCGGTATTCACACCAGTAGTCTTGGTACATCCGCCTCATAGCAAGAGGTGATACTAACTTCGATCCTCGTACGTGTGAAAAGTATGTTATCTGCGACCCGTTCAGGAAGTCAGACATACCGGCCAACCGGTTCACCTGCGAAATATCAGACCCATCCCTACCCCTTAGATCAACGGACGGTAGCAGAATTATTGCTGACTACGGGATATGCAACTTCTGGCAGCTCTCGCACATTTCTCGGGACAAGCAACACTACGTGAGTGATATTCCGCGCGGGGTGGCAATGAAGAAGGGCAAGCTTAACAGGTCAGGAGTTCGGTTCGGGGAAGCGGAGTGCCTCTCGGCTATGTCTGGCGGCTTAGTCAACTGCCTCTCCTACCTTAGCGATAACGGGGACCTGTCTATAGTTGATGTATGCCAGAAGTGTAGACGGCTCGTGATTAACTGTGATTGTGAAGAAGGGTGGACCCCGTCAACTAGAGTGGTGGTTCGTAATGCATTAGCCAAGTTTGATGTCATGAGGACGGCCTATTCGGTTAACGGTGCAATGGGGCTGGAGAAGCTCGGTGACGACGAAGAGAGGGCTCAGGTGGAAGGCAGGCGTACGTCCGTCCCGTTCATCGCAGAGTCCTTCACCTACCACGCTTAGGCTTTTAAAAGCAGTTCGGCCACCAGGAAGGCAGCTCGGAAACCCACAACAACTCCTGCGGCAAATCTCGAGCAGATATTTCATGCGACTTCATGTGTTCTTCTAATACTATCTCGCGTTCATCTCCGTCCTCGGTCAACCCACATAGCTCGCACCTGAAGAGGGACAGCCTAACCTCTCTGTTGCTAGAAAGCTGGTGACATATCAGGTGATCGTTATAGTCTTCGGCGTACGTGAATTCCTCGCAGCAGATACGGCAAACCACGGTGCATTGTCCAAGCAGTCCACGCCTCAACTCGTATCGTCCATCGTTAACCATGCTTCAGAGAGATCGTCGTAAGCAGTGCAGAGATAAATAATTATAACAATTTAAAGGCCAAAGTCCACGAACTGGTCGGAGATGTCATCGGCAGCCTTTGCAGCGAAGTCCGTCCTCGAGCTATTCGCCAACCTGTTCCTGCGCGCAGTCTTCCCGCATTTGGCCGCATACTCATCGATAGCCAGAGCCTTGGATTCATTACAGCCTCTCCCCTCCATCCTGAACTTCACGTATATGGGTATTGCGTTGGAGGATAAGCTATCGAAAACCAGCTCGTCTTTGCTTCTGGGCCGAATCACCAGCTTGCTGAGATCGATCAGCAGATTACCCCCGTCATCAATCAAGCCCTCCCCTATTGCAGAGACGATGTCAGACCCAGGCGGAGGCAAACACTCGGGCATCATCTTCAACAGTGCTATAAAGTCACATAACGACCTGAATATATCCGATCGAGATTGGTAGTCCCGGAGAGTCTTCAGCGATGATCCATCAACCTTCTTCAGGGTCCCGTCTCTAGACCTGGAAAACCTCAGCACTATGTCTTTGTCGGAGAGAACACGCGGCATCTTTCTAGGGGGACAGGCGTACTTGGCAACGTTGCTGATAACCTTCGTGAAGTCGTTGAACCTCCCCTTTAGGCCTGCGTCGAAGATTCTTCCCGTCATGGTCTCGAGGCGATCACGTACCCAAGCAGTCAGACCGAGAATTATAGCCGAGAATAACTGTGCGTTCTCCCTGATCCTTATAAGGTTTTCATCCGACGTACAACTGAACATAGAGGTCGTGGACGCGCTGTCGATCGAGTCTTCAAACTTGCAGGGAGCGTGGCAAACCGATGCTGGGGCAGATGGCCTAACCGTGGGTAGCAAGGACGCGGAACTCGGGATCCTCACTGCCGTTCTTCCCCTGTCATCGTATAATATGGTTTCGATACGGCTTACCCCTGACTCGAGCTGCGATAGACGTGACATAATGTTTTCCTGATTCGAGAGAACGATCCTGAGCATGGTCGAAACACCAGTAAGCTCCAGCATGGCAGGACTAGGCTTTCTATCAGAGACCGGAGTGGTGCTCACCTCACTAGTACGGGAAGAGATAGATCCATGCCTCGGATGAACGAAACGAGGAAGAGAGGGAGAAGGAGAAGGAGAAGGGTCTTCAGGCGTCGGTCGTTGCTCTGGCTGGTGCTCGCCAAGCGTTTCCTTATACGGAGGGGAGATCGAGAACGTCATGTGAGTTTTAAATGATTTTCTAACGAAGCGGCGCTAGGTCTTCTTGAAGGTGGATACTGCTAGAAACGAGATAACCTCTGTGTCGTCAAGCATGTACGAAGCGCTACACATGGAGGTCGGTGGACGAGTTACCGCTCTTCGCAAATCCATCATCAGACCACCCGCCCTCGTGATAATCTTATCAGGCTCGTCCTTCATAGGATCACCAGCGATATCGTAATAGGTGCTATAACCAAGAGCGCAACGAGACTCGAGAGCCGAGATAAGATACCTGCTTCCAGAGTCCAGCGACATGCGTTCAATCAGCCTCCATAAGCGCTGAAAAGTTAAGTGAGTGGCTCCTTCCCACGGAAAGCTTATAGGGTTGATAGTGTAAGACATCGAGCAGAGCATGAGAATAACTATATCTGTTCCATTAAGCCCGGGTGGCGGAGCGGGATACTTAACCCAAGCTTTCTCAACGTCGTTGGTCATGCTACGCAACTCAGGGGAAACCACGAACCTCTGTAGCCGCTCCTGATATATGTAAACGCGGTTGGTATGCTTGTAGCTGGAACTTGTCAGGGAGGGCCGCGATGGATCAACAAACTCGAGATGGCAGAACCTTGCTACTTTACCAGCGAAATCCATGTTAGGCGTAAGCTTTTAAATTCTTATTCCTCATCGGTGATCTCAGGCGCTAGGTCAGGTTCCAGACTCGGGTTAGAAGCGCAGTACGCCAAGGCCAGATTGCAGTCCCGGCAGCGTTCGTTGGACGTCCTCATGGTTCGGATACGTGCGTCATAAGTGTTGAGAAGCCCTGGAACATCGAATCTACTCACTGGATTGTCCACGTCAGAAGGGTAGGTGACGAGGCCCAACAAATGAGTCCGCCTTCCGGTGAATATACCTAGGAGAAGGTTTGACCGACGTAACAGGGGCAAGAGATCAGGGCTCGAGCATACCTCTCTCCTCGTAACAGGCATGGAGAAGAAGCACCTGTTGGAACCAGCATCATCAAGAGACGACAAAGCCCTGACGCGATCCGAATTACTAAGGCCAGCAGATATCGGGTGCCGACCAACCAGGAATATAATGTATGACTCACCATTCTTAGCGATATCACCAGCAGTTCTTACAGCGTCGCTGAGCGTATCGTCTCCCAGAAAGTTGATAGTTGACAGCTTCCTATCATGTCTCTCGAACAGATGCAACACGCGGTGGGTAACATCGTTAAGATGGATGTAGTTTTCCATGCCGTAAGTGCAGACCAGAACACCTTGATTATCCTTCGGCAGTCCGCTAAGCAGTTCCACCAGGGAGCGCCAATAAAGATAGTAGACACAGACGTCCACGTTATCAGGCATACTTGCAGCCGTTATCATTCTCGCCGAACACGAAAGCCTGATATTATGAAGGAGATGCGCCTGACCCAATGCCCTCTTCCTGGACGACGTGTTAATCGAAAACCTCGTAGCTCCGTGCTGACAACTTCCTAGCAGAATCCCATATAGACGAGATGCGATAACCGTTTCATAAGAAGGTATCATATTAGCCATAACAGCGGTGTAAAGATAATTAATTATTCCTGATCACAACATGTCTTGGGATATACCGGAATCAGCCTTGTCGTCGGTGCATACCAGTCTCGTGGCCCATGGAAACAACCAACTGAGAGCACCCAGCGCCCAGACATCAGAATCTTACAACCAGGATACGGCGAGGAAACAACATGAACAGAACCAAGCAAAATGCAGACTATGCCTACGCCAATGGTGCTCGAAGTTAATAGCTGAGGAAGACATGGTATCCGATTTCCCCTGCCTCATTGGCCTATGTGCATCCTACCGAGTCGCAAGCTGGGGAAACTGTTATCCCCTATCCTCGGTGCACGAAGGCATCAACGCACAACTTGCAAGCGGACTCGGTATCAAGAACGACATGCCTATGCCCTCGCTCAGACCTACTGGGAAAATGGGCGGGTGGTTTTGGCTGGGTGGTTGCATGTACTCGGCGCGTAAGGGGGTAACCATCGAGGTGTTGCCTGTGTTAAAAGCGGAGGAAGTGAAATATTTCAGATAAAGCTCACGCAACAGCTCCCTCGACCTCATCCCTCCGCCTTCCTGATCCCAAGTGCAGTTCTCGCCCCCCTCGTCCCATATGCCTCCACATCTTCCATGATCGAAGTGCAATTGTTTTCCTCATCCCATATCCTCCAATCTTCAAGATCAAGTGCATGCTGGAAGGAGTGGTGGTGGGGAGGAGAGAAGGAGTGATGGTGGCGGCGAAGCCAGTGGAGTGTTTTTCGGGGGGGTAGCAGCGAATAGAAGGGGGCCGCTCATGTGCCGCGGAGGCTGTCGAGTGCTGGGTGTTAGATGGGGCCGCTCATGTGCCGCGGAGGCTGTCGAGTGCTGGATGTTAGATGGGGCCGCTCATGTGCCGCGGAGGCTGTCGAGTGCTGGGTGTTAGATGGGGCCGCTCATGTGCCGCGGAGGCTGTCGAGTGCTGGATGTTAGATGGGGCCGCTCATGTGCCGCGGAGGCTGTCGAGTGCTGGGTGTTAGATGGGGCCGCTCATGTGCCGCGGAGGCTGTCGAGTACTGGATGTTCGATGCGGGCGGTCTCGATGTGGGTGGTTTCGGTGCGGGGGGAGGACCTGCTTCGTTGCGAGGGGGGATCGTGCATAAGAATCAAGGTGCTGGGAAAATGGGCGGGTGGTTTTGGCTGGGTGGTTGCATGTACTCGGCGCGTAAGGGGGTAAGCATCGAGGTGTTGCCTGTGTTAAAAGCAGAGGAAGTGAAATATTTCAGATAAAGCTCACGCAACAGCTCCCTCGACCTCATCCCTCCGCCTTCCTGATCACAAGTGCAGTTCTCGCCCCCTCGTCCCATATGCCTCCACATCTTCCATGATCGAAGTGCAATTGTTTTCCTCATCCCATATCCTCCAATCTTCAAGATCAAGTGCATGCTGGAAGGAGTGGTGGTGGGGAGGAGAGAAGGAGTGATGGTGGCGGCGAAGCCAGTGGAGTGTTTTTCGGGGGGTAGCAGCAGAAAGGGTGGTCGACTGTAGATGATACCTGGTTGGGAGGACGCTGAGACCGGAATTACGGTTGCGATAGCTGATTCCTGATGGCTGGTTACCCGTTCAACCTGGCGGTGGTTCGAGGTAGGCCTGTCACAGTGTCCTCCAAAAATCACGCTCCGCTACATTGGCATTCTGGATAAACCTGTAATCGGTTGTTAGAACTCTGTCTATCGTCCTCGGCATGACGCGGAGCATAATTTTATGTAACTTTATTAATTAATTATTTGAAGTACATATTGATTAGTGGCGTATTTCTGCCCAGATGAAGCTCATCGTAGATTCCAGTCAGGTCGAGCCCTTCGACGTTGTCAGATACGTTAGGATGAAGTCGAGAGCCGATTCCTATCCGAGAGTGAGGATGGTTGCGTTGAAGCCGCTGAAAGTCGAGAACATGAAGTATGTAAGGTGGCAGCCTTCTTCTAGCGGCACGTACTCCTCCAAGTTTTGTCCCTATCATAAGAGTTGTTTAGGTCATTACCAAAGCGTCGACGGCGTGGGCCTTGGCCTTCCTCCCTACTGTGCCCGCGTTGAAGATCCGAGAGAGATGAGCGAGACCAACAAACTTAATGCCCATCTGATGCAGGGTGGTATCTCGCAACTTCAGTATGGCATTTCTTTGAGGAACATTGTTTCGGGGAAGCGCGGCATAGCAAAATATCGTGCAATGGGTTTCGTTCCAACAACGTCTATGAGAGGGGTGGCTTCCTGTACCTGGGATGAGGACGGGTCTACCATAATGATTCCGAGACGCTGGATGAAGAGGATGATCGTTCCTACGAGGTTGGCAACAGACGATCTTATAAGTCCTTACTTCACCTGGCGTAGGCCTAGGGATGGGGATTATGCTCTTCTGTCCAGGAATCCGGTCTTATCTCACGAGTCTGTCCGCTGCGTAAGGATAATCGGGTGGGATAAGCAGTCTATAGGCGTTCACCCTGAATATTGCGTCCCTTTAAATGTGGATTACGACGGGGATGAGGTCAACGTTCAGATTGTAGATGGTCGGAAGTGTGAACAGGAGGCACGGTCGAGTATAGATGCCAACGCGCTGTCCAAGTTCTCGGATGAAAATGTTGAGAGGGCTCTCCGTGAGTTCAGGGATGGGTTGACGGCCGACTCCTTAGATGTTTGTGACTTCATGACGTTTTCCACGATGAGTATTACGCAGGCTGGTTCTAAGAGGCCTAACACGAGTCTTCACCGGCTGTGTCGTTGCAAGGATGAACTCTGGGATATAATTGTTGATGGCGTGGATAACACCTTCGATCGTATGTCCTCGTTCGTTGCGAGATCTATAAAGGGGGGTGCATGATCTTACCGATAGCCATCTTCGAGTCTCCGAGGGGTTCATTATTGGTCGGCAGCTAAAGCATGTTATGATGCAAACCTCGTGTACGCGTAACGTGATACGGACGGCCTGGGCGGAAGATGATCTTCAGTGTGAAACCGCCATCCGTATCCCCGAGAGCATCCTCAGAGAGCCGGGATATCCGCAGTCAAACTCTCATCGATGGTTTCGGCTAGTATTCAGCAGACGCTCATGGATAAGGCGAAGCATGCTGTTAGCACGGACAAGCGAAACATGATGTTGTCGATTCTTACTAGGGACGCAGAGTTTACGTTGCTCCAGAACAGGGCTGGCTTGATGAAGGTTTCCATACCGGATTTCTTCGTCGGTGGGGGGTTGGGAAGTCTCCTTCGTGATAAGCAGGGCCGGCCTTGCATCAATCAGATCCGTGGAGGAGAGGTATCGGAAGTGTTTCATCGCGGTGAGTATTGCATGTAGGATGAACTGCATAACGGCTTCGGATATACAGATAGCTGAGTTCGCTCACTCCGTCTTCGTTTCGACTTACCACAATGCCGAGAGGGATATGACTGGTTCTTCAGACGTTAAGTTCCTTTCACACACCCAATCGAAGTCCTTGCTGATAGCTGCATGCAACGATGTTTACGATCTCGATTCGCGTATGACCATGGGAAAGTATATTCCTTCAATGGATGAGTGTGATGTTCGTCAGCCTGTTCTTGCTATAATGACGGGGAATTACTCGGAACAGCTTGGCAGATCAGCGTACTCGGATTCCTGAGGTTTTTCAAAAGTCCTATTCCAGAATGGTGAGGGATCCTATGAAGGCCACGCATATCTCTGCATCTTTCATCGTTCTGTCAATCATGATCTTCAGCCTTTGGAATGAGGATTGCACGGTTTCCGGTCTCCCGAGATACTTTACAGCGCCGTGTATCGACAATCTTACAGAGCCGTTGTCCTGGGACTTGTTCCCGTAGATGGTTAGCCCTGTCAGGCTGTCGCAAAGCACATCTGGTTCCAGGTAGTTTGCCCTTTGCATCACTTCCAACGACTCGCTGCTCATCGAACACCTGTAGATCCTGCCAGTATGCTTTATTCTCCATATCAGGCGGGAGGAGCCGAGGTGAATCTGAACGGGTTCCTTGGCAGTTTGCATACGGCTCGACCAGTCAGGATCACGCTCGATGAAACCTATAACCGACAAGGCTTGCCTTCCATTCATCTGTAGGCGGGCGAACTTCGATGTTTCTGTCACGCTGTCAGTCTTGTTGGATGAAGCGTCCTCTACATAGATTGATCGTCGTGCGCGGAGCCGGGTATCTTCGTTTATATGGCAGACGTCGTTAACGCTTGTTACAACCGTGGGGTGTATGAGAGAGCACGATACGGATATAGAATCTGATATTTTCCACAGGTTCAGCAGTATTGTAGGTCTGAGCGAGGGCATAGGCATGTCGTTCTTGATACCGAGTCCGCTTGCAAGTTGTGCGTTGATGCCTTCGTGCACCGAGGATAGGGGATAACAGTTTCCCCAGCTTGCGACTCGGTAGGATGCACATAGGCCAATGAGGCAGGGGGAAATCGGATACCATGTCTTCCTCAGCTATTAACTTCGAGCACCATTGGCGTAGGCATAGTCTGCATTTTGCTTGGTTCTGTTCATGTTGTTTCCTCGCCGTATCCTGGTTGTAAGATTCTGATGTCTGGGCGCTGGGTGCTCTCAGTTGGTTGTTTCCATGGGCCACGAGACTGGTATGCACCGACGACAAGGCTGATTCCGGTATATCCCAAGACATGTTGTGATCAGGAATAATTAATTATCTTTACACCGCTGTTATGGCTAATATGATACCTTCTTATGAAACGGTTATCGCATCTCGTCTATATGGGATTCTGCTAGGAAGTTGTCAGCACGGAGGTACGAGGTTTTCGATTAACACGTCGTCCAGGAAGAGGGCATTGGGTCAGGCGCATCTCCTTCATAATATCAGGCTTTCGTGTTCGGCGAGAATGATAACGGCTGCAAGTATGCCTGACAACGTGGACGTCTGTGTCTACTATCTTTATTGGCGCTCCCTGGTGGAACTGCTTAGCGGACTGCCGAAGGATAATCAAGGTGTTCTGGTCTGCACTTACGGCATGGAAAACTACATCCATCTTAACGATGTTACCCACCGCGTGTTGCATCTGTTCGAGAGACATGATAGGAAGCTGTCAACTATCAACTTTCTGGGAGACGGTATGCTCAGCGACGCTGTAAGAACTGCTGGTGATATCGCTAAGAATGGTGAGTCATACGTTATATTCCTGGTTGGTCGGCACCCGATATCTGCTGGCCTTAGTAATTCGGATCGCGTCAGGGCTTTGTCGTCTCTTGATGATGCTGGTTCCAACAGGTGCTTCTTCTCCATGCCTGTTACGAGGAGAGAGGTATGCTCGAGCCCTGATCTCTTGCCCCTGTTACGTCGGTCAAACCTTCTCCTAGGTATCAGAGGGAAGGCCATCCGTCAACCTAGCTTTCTCGGCCTCCTCGAACGTACCATACTCTTCGCGAATGATCACGGACGGAGGAATAAGAATCTCGCTTATAATCCTGCGATACTCATCATACTTCTTGGTTATGGTCTGGACAACCCCGTTCGCTGCAATGATATCAATGAGAACCATGGACCCGTCAACGAGCTGCTCTACACGGAAAACGTTCGTAAGCCCCGTAAACTCTCCCACATCACTCTTGATCACGTAATTGACGACGGTGAGATTAGGATCGTTGCGACAGACGTACCAGGCCGAATTAGCATCGAAGACCCAGGCGTGCTCCCCATCTACCTTAACGCGATAGGAGTTGTCAGAGGCGGGGATCATCTTCACATCCTTTACGGGTCGAGCCGCGTGCCTAAGCTGTGCCATGGTGTCACGAGGAAGAACATACCTGTACTCCTTTTCGTGAGAGAACTCCGCGTGAATTATCTTGAGCATCCGAACCCAGTCTGTGGGCGTGATAGGTCTAGAACCCCGATACTCGAACTCGCAAGAATAGACGTCATCAGGCAAGTAGTGGCGGCATCGGCAAACCCACTCCCCTATATCCGTTCTCCTCTCGGTAACATCGACCCGGTAACTCTGGATACGCATAACATCGTCTAATGATAACAAGAGATCGTCAGACATAAACTCCTTGGAAAAGCTGCGATTCATTCCGGGAACAAGATAATAAGAATTGAGGAGTATCTTTATCGTGCACTCTGCTGCATCCCTGTAGTACCGGCTCCTGATATGGCATGCACGTGAGAAGCCCTCCATCAATACCATCTTTGCCACGCCTACCTCCGTGAAACGAACTTCCTCGTAATCCATCAGCACCTCGAAGCAGTCCTTGGCGAGAGCAGGCGACAGGGTTATCTCCACTTCATCGTAGCTATCGTACATCGACGCATCTATGTCCCGGTTCTCCCGCAGATCCTCCATATTATCACGTGGTGGGGCTAAGAACATGAGTCGAGAAACCGCCTGCGCGTCAACAGCAACCCTACTAATCTCGGAATCGCTTGGGCACCTGCACTTTACCAGCACCGCACCTTCATCTGCTGCACGACGTGTATCGCGAACGCCTTTCCTGGACAACCCGCAAAGCTCACAACTCTCATCCATAATCAGTATGTACGTCAAATAATTAATTAATAAAGTTACATAAAATTATGCTCCGCGTCATGCCGAGGACGATAGACAGAGTTCTAACAACCGATTACAGGTTTATCCAGAATGCCAATGTAGCGGAGCGTGATTTTTGGAGGACACTGTGACAGGCCTACCTCGAACCACCGCCAGGTTGAACGGGTAACCAGCCATCAGGAATCAGCTATCGCAACCGTAATTCCGGTCTCAGCGTCCTCCCAACCAGGTATCATCTAGAGTCGACCACCCTTTCTGCTGCTACCCCCGAAAAACACTCCACTGGCTTCGCCGCCACCATCACTCCTTCTCTCCTCCCCACCACCACTCCTTCCAGCATGCACTTGATCTTGAAGATTGGAGGATATGGGATGAGGAAAACAATTGCACTTCGATCATGGAAGATGTGGAGGCATATGGGACGAGGGGGCGAGAACTGCAATTGGGATCAGGAAGGCGGAGGGATGAGGTCGAGGGAGCTGTTGCGTGAGCTTTATCTGAAATATTTCACTTCCTCTGCTTTTAACACAAGCAACACCTCGATGCTTACCCCCTTACGCGCCGGATAGAAGCAACCACCCAACCAAAACCACCCGCCCATTTTCCCAGCACCTTGATTCTCATGCACGATCCCCCCTCGCAACGAAGCAGGTCCTCCCCCCGCACCGAAACCACCCACATCGAGACCGCCCGCATCGAACATCCAGTACTCGACAGCCTCCGCGGCACATGAGCGGCCCCATCCAACTCCTTCCAGCACTCGACAGCCTCCGCGGCACATGAGCGGCCCCATCTAACACCCAGCACTCGACAGCCTCCGCGGCACATGAGCGGCCCCCCTTCCTTTCGCTGCTACCCCCCGAAAAACACTCCACTGGCTTCGCCGCCACCATCACTCCTTCTCTCCCCCCCCACCACTCCTTCCAGCATGCACTTGATCTTGAAGATTGGAGGATATGGGATGAGGAAAACAATTGCACTTCGATCATGGAAGATGTGGAGGCATATGGGACGAGGGGGCGAGAACTGCACTTGGGATCAGGAAGGCGGAGGGATGAGGTCGAGGGAGCTGTTGCGTGAGCTTTATCTGAAATATTTCACTTCCTCTGCTTTTAACACAGGCAACACCTCGATGGTTACCCCCTTACGCGCCCGAGTAGAAGCAACCACCCAACCAAAACCACCCGCCCATTTTCCCAGTTTTTTTTTGTTCCCGTGCCCCTCTCCCACGGGGGCGGCCCCACCCCCCCAACCAAACCCCCCCCCACCGCGACGCCCCACCCAACGAACCGCAACCACCGGCCCCCACCCGCGGCGGGGGGCGGGGCGCGCCACCCCCCCCTCCACCGCTCGCCCGCCGCCGGGGGGGGGGGGCGTCCCTATCCAACAACAGGGGGGGGGCTTTTTTTTGGGTTGGTTGTGGGGGGGGGGGGGGGTGTTTTTTTTTTTTTGGGGGGGGGGGTTTGTTTTTTTTTGTTAAGTCGGGGGGTTTTGGGGAGAGCACGAAAGGGATATAGAATCTGATATTTTCCACAGGTTCAGCAGTATTGTAGGTCTGAGCGAGGGCATAGGCATGTCGTTCTTGATACCGAGTCCGCTTGCAAGTTGTGCGTTGATGCCTTCGTGCACCGAGGATAGGGGATAACAGTTTCCCCAGCTTGCGACTCGGTAGGATGCACATAGGCCAATGAGGCAGGGGGAATCGGATACCATGTCTTCCTCAGCTATTAACTTCGAGCACCATTGGCGTAGGCATAGTCTGCATTTTGCTTGGTTCTGTTCATGTTGTTTCCTCGCCGTATCCTGGTTGTAAGATTCTGATGTCTGGGCGCTGGGTGCTCTCAGTTGGTTGTTTCCATGGGCCACGAGACTGGTATGCACCGACGACAAGGCTGATTCCGGTATATCCCAAGACATGTTGTGATCAGGAATAATTAATTATCTTTACACCGCTGTTATGGCTAATATGATACCTTCTTATGAAACGGTTATCGCATCTCGTCTATATGGGATTCTGCTAGGAAGTTGTCAGCACGGAGGTACGAGGTTTTCGATTAACACGTCGTCCAGGAAGAGGGCATTGGGTCAGGCGCATCTCCTTCATAATATCAGGCTTTCGTGTTCGGCGAGAATGATAACGGCTGCAAGTATGCCTGATAACGTGGACGTCTGTGTCTACTATCTTTATTGGCGCTCCCTGGTGGAACTGCTTAGCGGACTGCCGAAGGATAATCAAGGTGTTCTGGTCTGCACTTACGGCATGGAAAACTACATCCATCTTAACGATGTTACCCACCGCGTGTTGCATCTGTTCGAGAGACATGATAGGAAGCTGTCAACTATCAACTTTCTGGGAGACGGTACGCTCAGCGACGCTGTAAGAACTGCTGGTGATATCGCTAAGAATGGTGAGTCATACATTATATTCCTGGTTGGTCGGCACCCGATATCTGCTGGCCTTAGTAATTCGGATCGCGTCAGGGCTTTGTCGTCTCTTGATGATGCTGGTTCCAACAGGTGCTTCTTCTCCATGCCTGTTACGAGGAGAGAGGTATGCTCGAGCCCTGATCTCTTGCCCCTGTTACGTCGGTCAAACCTTCTCCTAGGTATCAGAGGGAAGGCCATCCGTCAACCTAGCTTTCTCGGCCTCCTCGAACGTACCATACTCTTCGCGAATGATCACGGACGGAGGAATAAGAATCTCGCTTATAATCCTGCGATACTCATCATACTTCTTGGTTATGGTCTGGACAACCCCGTTCGCTGCAATGATATCAATGAGAACCATGGACCCGTCAACGAGCTGCTCTACACGGAAAACGTTCGTAAGCCCCGTAAACTCTCCCATATCACTCTTGATCACGTAATTGACGACGGTGAGATTAGGATCGTTGCGACAGACGTACCAGGCCGAATTAGCATCGAAGACCCAGGCGTGCTCCCCATCTACCTTAACGCGATAGGAGTTGTCAGAGGCGGGGATCATCTTCACATCCTTTACGGGTCGAGCCGCGTGCCTAAGCTGTGCCATGGTGTCACGAGGAAGAACATACCTGTACTCCTTTTCGTGAGAGAACTCCGCGTGAATTATCTTGAGCATCCGAACCCAGTCTGTGGGCGTGATAGGTCTAGAACCCCGATACTCGAACTCGCAAGAATAGACGTCATCAGGCAAGTAGTGGCGGCATCGGCAAACCCACTCCCCTATATCCGTTCTCCTCTCGGTAACATCGACCCGGTAACTCTGGATACGCATAACATCGTCTAATGATAACAAGAGATCGTCAGACATAAACTCCTTGGAAAAGCTGCGATTCATTCCGGGAACAAGATAATAAGAATTGAGGAGTATCTTTATCGTGCACTCTGCTGCATCCCTGTAGTACCGGCTCCTGATATGGCATGCACGTGAGAAGCCCTCCATCAATACCATCTTTGCCACGCCTACCTCCGTGAAACGAACTTCCTCGTAATCCATCAGCACCTCGAAGCAGTCCTTGGCGAGAGCAGGCGACAGGGTTATCTCCACTTCATCGTAGCTATCGTACATCGACGCATCTATGTCCCGGTTCTCCCGCAGATCCTCCATATTATCACGTGGTGGGGCTAAGAACATGAGTCGAGAAACCGCCTGCGCGTCAACAGCAACCCTACTAATCTCGGAATCGCTTGGGCACCTGCACTTTACCAGCACCGCACCTTCATCTGCTGCACGACGTGTATCGCGAACGCCTTTCCTGGACAACCCGCAAAGCTCACAACTCTCATCCATAATCAGTATGT